CATTTTTACATCAACATGATGTGAATGATGTAAATGAACTGATGTTTCATTTTATAATTTCAAAATTTATTGAAATCGGATGAACATTAGATGTTTTTCATCATATATTTTCAAACATTATTGAAATTTGATGAACATTAGATGTTTCAAATCCAATGTTTGTAACATGACTCTGACGTTATTAACATTGTATCTGATGTTATTAACATTGTAATGGGACCTTTCAGTCTATAAGAAAACTTTTAGGACTAAACAATGCATAAGTTATTAATTTGGGATTTATTGGTGCATCTCCCTAATAATAATCCTATTAAATATTAAAAATTGTAACGATAGCATTGGACTATTGTCCGATTGGCCTTTGGTGTTGCTTTTGTCGCAGTGTTAAGTGGTCACTAGAAGAAACCACTTAGTCCAAAGTAATGTTTGGTTTCATTGGAAGACTGAGATCTACATGTTAGTTTTTTTTTATTTTTTTATTTTTAGAATGTTTCTGTAATATTTCAGGCAATTCTAACATCAAAATGATATTTGGTCATTGGAATACATTTGAACATCTAGAATTAACGTCAATACTAAACAAGTTTTTTTTGTTGTATTTCTTATTCATTCAAAATTTAATTAAATTTATTTATTTTTTTTTAATTATTAAAGTCAGTGCTAAAGATGCATGAAAAGTCTTGTTCAAGTCATGAGAGATTGGTCAAGTGGGAAAAACTAGTTTGGGAACTCATAAAGTGAAAAAAAAAAAAAAACTTGCAAATTTTAGAGAGGGATTGCTCAAGGCATCAAAGTGTGAGATGGGTTGAGTGGGAAAAGCTTGTTTGATAGACAATAAAGTGAAAAAAAAAAAAAAAAAAAAAAAAAAAAAAAAAACAAAACAAAACTCTGGCGAAAGCTTGTTTGATAGCTAAGAAAGTGAGAAGAGAAATATTTTTTTACAAATGTTGAGAGTGGGATTTGAACCCACGCCCTTTCGGACCAGAACCTTAATCTGGCGCCTTAGACCAACTCGGCCATCTCAACACTTCGAAATAAAATTTTCCGATTTTATATTTAATTATTCATTTAAATTTCCTCCCAATATTTTAGTTGAAGAGAAGGATTCTCTCCAATGGTCCAGTTGTGGAGGGTCTAGTTTTGAGGCTCTGGGCTTACTTTATGATTTGAACGGTATACATTTTAGTTTTTGATTAGTGAATCATTTACAAAAAAAAAAAAAAAAAATTAAATTTATAAGATATCATTAGTCATGTGATTTGAATTGTATAGATTTTAGTTTTTGATTAATCAGGTTAATTAGATATCATTAGTCATATAATCGAATCACATTTGCTTCAAAAAGTTGATGATTTATTGTCAAAAGCATATTTGTCATTTATTTTATTAAAAACAAATATAATTTAATTATGTTTCAATCAATATACGATTAATTTAAATTTTTACATAGATGATTTACTTGATAGACACTAAAAAAATATACAATTCGGACTAACAAAATGGCCATGATGTGAGCCTTAGCGCCCAAATTGGATCTACTTGTGATGTTTTGAGAAATTAGTAAAAAAATGATTTTTTAACTTTTTTGTGTAAAAAAAACTGATTTTTTATACTTTTTTTTTATGACTTTTTTTTATGTAAAAGGTTTAAAAAGCAAAAAAAAAAACTAATTTTTTAGCTTGTTCCCAAAATACAATGAAAAAATAAATTACGTGGTGTTCCCATTTGAAATGAAAAAAATATAAATAGTCCAACAATTTGATATACAGTTACACTAATCTCCATTCTAATAATGGTCATGTTGATGGGAGCTGCTACATGCAAGTGTGGAAAGAAATTATATTAGTGCATTTAAAAGCTTTTATAGACAGTGTTAATTACGAATATAACAAAATCAATTTTTTACCCTAAAATATTTTGTATTTTTTTAATCATCAAATCTAACATAAATGTTAAAATAGAAAATTTCTCCTTCTCTTTAGGTTCGATGAGGATGGGAAGGAGAGACTTCACTATCCTGCACCCATACGACACGCCTCGTGAAATATATTTAGATCATATTTTAAAGATTTGTGATATTCATATTATAAGATTTGTTAAATATATTATTTATACAAAAAATGAATTTAATTGAATAAATACAATCTTATGATCAAATCGAATAAAAACAATAAAAAAAATTATTAAAATCAGACTAATCATGCTTTTTTTTTTCATAAACATAAACGTGATCTTATTGTGGATTACAAATATCTAATTAACTTGAATTTGAATGATCTATTCAATAAATTTTACACTATAAATAATTTAAATTATTAAAATAAATTTGAAACACACTTTCAAAGATTCACAATGCGATGTCATACCAATAACAGATAGCACCAAAGCTCAGGTTCCTTGGCTCAACTTTCAGTTGGAGAAGATTGATCCATTTCTAGCTTTCCTTTTCCCTTGTGTCTCCCTTTCTTTCCGCATCTATTTCTCTTTCATGTTAACCCTCAACCCCCACTCTCTCTTGATGTCCTCAACTCACTGCACTACTATCACTACAACAAAATACACATTTGGCGACTAAATTTTTAGTCGCCAAAAGTACAATTTTTAGTCGCCAAATGATTTGCCCGACTAAATAGTTTGGTCGCTAGACTTTTATTTATAATGTATTTGTCATTTTTTAGGTTTAACCAAATATGGAAATAAATGTTTTGATAGAATGAGCATTTCATTTTATTTTATTCTAATAAACCAAACATTACTTAAAAGGGTGATTATTCAGTATTCTCGGACTATGGACACGTGGTGCACCATAAGGTTTTGATTGGAAGAGCGAGGTAGGGGCTCACGATTTATGTTGGGAATGAAGAACAATATGGGACTAAATAATTAGATTGGCTTAGAGTATGGTCACGCAGTGTTTCAAAATTATTAAATAATTTCCCACTTACAAGTGTGTTTGAAAAAAAAGGCAAAAAACAAAAAAATCAAAAAATTATTAAAACAATAAAAAATAAAAAGTTCTTTCATATTCTTTTTGAATAATGTTTGAGGGCCCGAAATTAGTGGCTCAAATTTGGCTCAAAACCCAAAACGACGTCGTTTTGGGTTTTGATTTTTTTTTTTTTTCTTCTTCTTTCTTCCTCTTCTTTCTTTTCTTCTTCTTCTTCATATTTTGATTGATTGGAATGAGATGAAATGAAATAAAATGATAATTTTTAAAGTTTTCTTATAGTACAATTATTCTTTTAAAATAATAAAAGATTATTTTATTTATAATGTATTTGTCATTTTTTAGGTTTAACCAAATATGGAAATAAATGTTTTGATAGAATGAGCATTTCATTTTATTTTATTTTAATAAACCAAACATTACTTAAAAGGGTGATTATTTAGTATTCTCAGAATATAGACACGTGGTGCACCATAAGGTTTTGATTGGAAGAGCGAGGTAGAGGCTCACGATTTATGTTGGGAATGAAGAACAATATGGGACTAAATAATTAGATTGGCTTATAGTATGGTCACGCAGTGTTTCAAAATTATTAAATAATTTCCCACTTACAAGTGTGTTTGAAAAAAGAGGCAAAAAACAAAAAAATCAAAAAATTATTAAAAAAATAAAAAATAAAAAGTTCTTTCATATTCTTTTTACTTTTTACATGTCCTTTTCGTGAAAAAATCGAAATGTTTCAATTAATTTTTTTCACTTTATGTTTTAATAAAAAAAAAAAACTCAAAGATAAAAAAGAAAATTACCAAAAACGCCAAACCCAAACTGGCTCTGAACCCACACAATGGCCACTAAAAGACGGCTAAGGGATTGTTTGGGGTATCCTAAATAAGTATATTTTTTGTCTTTTTAGATTAAAAAGTTAAAAAATAAAATATGGATGTTTGGGTTAACTTTTTAGCCTTTTATGAAAAAATGTGTATTAAAAAATTGTGTAAAGAAATGTATAGGAGAAGATATGTAGTATGTCGTACGGATGGGAACATTACAGTCGGCTTGGTGAATACATGGGAAAAGATTCTCTCCCTTTTGGACTTTGATTGGACGGTGTTGTTCGGCCTGTGAGGGCCCATTACGGGTTCCTTTTTTTAATCGGAACCATTCATTGTGTTGAACTCGTTGAGTACTATATATTTGTAAAAAATCACATTGACTGTATATCGATAGCTATCTGATCGTGTTAGTTTTTTTTGTCAACTGTTAACTATAATACCATTCAATTTTTATACAAAACTAATTTGATCATGTAGTTAGCGATATTTGATAGACGTGATTTTTTTACAGACATATAGTATTAGACGAGTTCTACATATTCAACGGTTTGGATTATCAAAATGAGATCCATGGTGGCCCCCACAGGTCCAACTTTACCATTCAATTTAGTGAATGTACATATGTTATTATTATTATTTTTTTTCTTTCATTGCAGGTGGCTGACGTCAGTATGTTGATGGGTGGGAAAAGTGGAACTTTTATATTAATTTACCATTCAAATTAATATTTGTATATTAATTTTTTTATATTTTTTTTGATGAATAGTGATAACTTTTTAACTTTTTTAATAACCTTTTGACTTTTTAACTTTTTTTGAACTTGCCAAACCAGCTGTAAGACAAATGTGGGATGTCATGAACATAGAGGGAGTAGGATGGACAGTTGGCCATATCTAGTGTATATTGTACATGGACGATTGTTAGGGTAGGCAGCTCTTCTAATATTATGTTTGGTTGCGAGATTTGAGAAAAAATTTAGAAAGAAAAAAAATATAGATAAAATATGAATAAAATATACTTATATTTTATCTAATTTTACACACCTTTTCTTTTCTATTTCCAAATCATTTCTTAAATCTCTCAACCAATTATAGCATAAAGTTCTGCCATTTGATATCTTTAGAAAATAATGAATTTGAATAGATTCATGGATTGATTTATCTTTGTCAAATTATTGTTCTTATGTATGTTTATATGTAAATGGTTACTTATGTGGACAATTTTAATCAATTACTACATGAATTATATTTATGGGATTTAAGTTCAAACAAAGAGGTTTTTGTACACAGCATGATCTTTCTACAGGAGACATAAACAGAGATAGGCAATGCAAATTCTACTCAGACAAACAGGACACTTGGAAACTTGCACAAAAGATGTTTGCAAAAATGTCCAGCACATAAATCCCAGTTAGCTTGGTGGATGATTGATCACTTGCTCCTATCACTTGGGGGTGAAAGCCTGAAATGAAATTGACCATAAAGTAAGTTAAAAACAAAAAAACATTTACTTGTTTGGATATAGTTTTATTGAAATTTGTAGTGTTATTTTGACTTTGTCTAACTTGCATGTCTCAATTCACAGTATGTAACTCTGTTATAGAACTTTTTATTGTTTGATAAGGCTTTTTTTTTTTTTTTTAAATACAACGAAAAAAAAATAAAAATTGATAACGCTTTCACTTTCTGTTTTTAGTTTTAGTTTTAGTTTTCGCTTTTAATTTCATTTGTTAGAAATTGAAAGCGAAAATTTGGTTGATATATTATTTTTGTTTTAAAAAAGTGGAGTTGAAAATGAAAAAATTTTTAAAATTTTTGAAAACGAAAAAATTGTAGCCTTGTTTGGTTTGCTTTTCAGGAAAAATTTTGGAAAAAATTATTTACAAATAAATTTTCAAGAGTAATCAAACCAAACAAATTTTTTTTAAAAAATCTCAAAATTTTATTTGGTTACCTACTTTTCAAAATCACTATTTCTCTCATACACATCAAATCAATCACTTTTTTTAAAACTCTCTCCCCAAAATAATTTTTCAAAACCATTTCTGAAAAAAAATTGAAAGCGAAAATTTGGTTGATATATTATTTTTGTTTTAAAAAAGTGGAGTTGAAAATGAAAATTTTTTCAAAATTTTTGAAAACGAAAAATTGTAGCCTTGTTTGGTTTGTTTTTCAGAAAAAATTTTGGAAAAAATTATTTACAAATAAATTTTCAAGAGTAATCAAACCAAACAAATTTTTTTTAAAAAATCTCAAAATTTTATTTGGTTACCTACTTTTCAAAATCACTATTTCTCTCATACACATCAAATCAATCACTTTTTTTAAAACTCTCTCCCCAAAATAATTTTTCAAAACCATTTCTGAAAAAAGGCAAACCAAACAAATTTTCGTACTTTTTATATCAAAAACTACTTTACAAACATAAACCAAACACACCCTGTGTTTTTAAAATAAGTCTCCGACCACCACCCCCTGTTGGCCACCTTCGACGAGCAGTTGGTCACTCGTGACCTCCAGCCAGCTACCAACTTCAACAACCACCTCCGACCACCACATGTGGCCATCCTCTATTGTGGGCCACCATTGCCGACAACTTGTTAGACATGCTTGTTTGTTTTTGTTTTTATTTATTTTAAAACATTTATGGACATCAAGAAAGGTTTTTGTTTTATTTATTTTTTTTATAACAAAAAATAAGAAATTGACAATGTTATCAAATGACAGCTATTAAAATGCACTTACAGCAAAAATGGTGGCATGACCAGGATCAGCAAGGTGGGCAAAGAGGTTGTCAATAGGTCCAGTCCCTGTATAAATAGCTTGAAACCATGCACCCATCACAGCCAACATAGCCAGCCTTCCGTTCTTAATTTCCTTAGTCCTCAACTCCTTCACTTTCTCTGGTGACCCGCTTCCCCAACCCAATGGGTCAAACCACAGCCCACCCGGGTACCCAACATCTGTGCCGGTGAGCTTGTTGTTGGGGAAAATCGGATCGGTGTTGACACAACCTGGCTTGAGTATGTCAGCCCAACGCCTTCCTTCGGCCCAACCAATTAAAATAAGCTCGATGATGAAAAGGGTGGTGGTGTCTGTGAAGTATTCGAGCTCACCCGCGGTGTACCTGTTGGAAATAAATAAAATAGGCTATAACAAACACTTAAACCATTGGAATAGAATTGGAGAAGATCATTTTTTTACTATCAACAGATAGATTATTAAGACTCATATTAGAACTCAATTTTGGTAACATTAACATGCCACTAATGCCCCTTATTACTAAATTTGCTTAACACACCAACCTAATGTAGTAACCGTGTCAAATTACTAAAAACAAATTTATTATTTTCAACAGTACCATGATGGGGTGTTGAGGATTCCAATCTTTGTAAGGAATTCAGGGATGAAGATTCCAGCAGCGCCTAACATTGCCCATCTGCAGTGGACTAGCTCGGATTGGACGTTCCATCTCAGAGTCTCAGGGTCAGATCCTGTTAGGATCATAATAATGTGTTTATCAGTCTTTGGCTAGTAGTTTGGTATGGGATTGTTGGGCTATGCTTTTGTTTCTAATTTTCAAAAAATTTTAAAAATTGAAAACATAAGTATGTTTGGTGATTGTTTTTGTTTTCAATAAGTTGTAATGTGTCAGAGTGACCCCAATTTTTAGGGCCAGAGATAGTGAATATGCTGAATCTATCTAATGTTTTTCAAAGCCATTTCTTGAGTTTTTTTGACTTACCAAGACCAAGGGGATCAAATCCGAAGTCTCCAGGGAGGCTGCATAAAAGGGTTTAATTTAAGCTACAACTTCAGAAACATTAAAATTTCCACATACATTTAAATATAAAAAAATAAAAAATAAAATAAAAATAGAGAGAAAGATTATAAGGTTGAACCAATTAAAACATGAATTCGGTACTGAACCTTCCATCAAGCCATGGCGGAGGGACGCTGCCTGGGAACCAGATGGGCCTATCGGGATCGGCTGCGACGCAAACGGTAACCGACCGTGCTCCGGCCGGTGATGTACTGTACTTTCTCAGTCTCAGTTTTCTCCCTCCAAAGAATGAAGCCTTTGTTGCTCCCACAATTGATCCACTCTTTTGGGAACTGTAATATTACATGACCTTACTTATATGATTATGATTACTAATTGCCAAAATATGCACATTTTAAGAGACTTGTGAATAGTTTATTTATGATTTTTTGCCACTTTATTATCATTTTGTTTAAATTATGTTGCAGTGGACAAGTTTTTCATGAAAAATCACATAATGAAATAGAGAGAATTGATCAGCTAATGTCATTTATTATTATTATCATTTTTTTTTTGTTAACAAGGATATTCAAGACTTTGGGTGGATTTGGTGAAGTTTGTGCAAACTGAAAATTGATAATAAAAAAAAAAAATTAGAAGCTAAAAACATCTGCTCGTTACTCTTCCATAATCAATTTATTTTTTCATTTTTAAATTATTTTTAACTTATAAATTTTAGACAGAAATTACACTAAATACTCTAGTATATATTCTCAAAAAAAAAGAAAAAGAACAAGTTATAATTTTTCAATAAACGGTACCCAAGACTTTTGTTTCAATTAGTCCTGGCCAGGTAGATGCAATTTTCCGTTCCAAACATAGCATCTAATTATTGAACATAGAGGTCTTGCGGTGACCCCAATGGAATCGAGCACTTCATCGAAATAGAATTCATATGTTTTCGTTTATCACAATTTAACTTGTCACTCCACTACCCTCCTAAATTGTTTTATTTTTTGACATAGAATGTTTTGTGAAATTCGAGCTCATAACATATCTTACCGACGCAATAAATATGGCTCAACTCATCACTTTAGGCCTTGTTTGGCAATGGATATTTGAGCTAAAATAGTCAATACAAACAAAATACACTAAAATAATCAATAAGACAAAATGTTATATCCAATCTATAATTATTTGAATTTTTTTATCTCACAACCATCAAATCAATTACAAGAAAAAGAAAGCCAACTATCTTTCTAAACATAACTTTTTTAGTCAAGTTAAAATAGTTAAAAGACCAAAAAATTTTTAAAAAATAGTCAACTTTTCAAACGAGACCAAGCTAATTCTTCTAATACATGAAATAAGTCTACAAACACAGATTGAATAAGCATTTAGACACAGAATGTTTATGGATGAATTGGAATATTCTAAAGTGTATTCTATTAACAAATCTTGTAATTCTTTTTTTGGTGTGTATTCAATATATATATATATATAATTGATATCTGTATTTATAACATCACTGAAATACATATGTATAGGAAAATGGGGGTTCTAAGAAGTTTACCTGGGTGAAGAGAGGCCAACAGCTGCAATAGCTGAAGAAGCAAAAGCAGAGGAGGCCATGTTTGGCTGATTTTCTTTTGATGAATTTTGAGTGTTTGATTGGTTTGTGTGAATGAGAGATATGAGAGGCTGTTTAATGTATGGATTTTCAAGAGGCTTATCTTGATGGATAGGTGAGTACATGTCTCATTGGCTGCTGTGTTGCCACGTGGCATGCAGAATCTATTTCTCTGGCCTCTATAACTCCTCCTTGCTTACTTGGAATAAGATCAGGAGCTGGTGGTTCACATTGCAAGCCAATATGGGAGAATCAGTTGTATTGCATTATGTTGAGATATGTCTCACATTGTCTATAGTTGTTTTATTTGTGTTGATTATAAGATTTCAATTTTTCTCTACTTAATATTTGAGTTTTAAAAAGAAATGTGAGCTGAGCTTTTCAATTTAATATCAGAGTTAGGTTCGGTCTGTAACTAATGTGTTGTTTGTTCTATTTGTACTAGTTATAAGGTTCTAGTTTTTCTCTCTTTAATACTTGAGTTTTATAAAAAAATGTGAGCTGGGCTTTTCAATTCATTATAAGGGGGTAGTTTTGTCTTTTTTTTTTTTCCAATTATGAGATATTCATAGTATTCATGCTTTGATTTTGAGTTTTCAAAATTATTTTTTGAATTTTTTTATTTCCGTATTTTGTTGTCTTTAATAATTTTTTTTTTTTTTTTTTTTGCATTTTGATCTATTTAAATTAAATTTTTGTATTTGTTATGTTTCATCGCAATTTTTCTCCTTGACTTGCATCTCCTTGGATTTGCCTTGTCCACTGCCTCATCAATGGCTTATCTCCTTGGATTTGCTTTATATTTCAAGAAATTTGAAAATATATATTCTCAATTTCATATATATATGTTTTGTGTTATTATAAAATTAAAATTTTTATCAATTGTATTGGATAGAATAGCATTTGAATTATAATCAAAATAATAAAATTTACAATTAAATATTAAAATTTCAATTGCATGAATCTATAATTTCAATCCTACTCCAGACTATAATCCATTCAATTAAAAAAAAACTCCTAATATTAATTCCGTTGTCTTTCCAGGATTGGGCTGGTCAAGGTTTGTAATTGGCCTCGTTTGGGAATAAGCTAATTTAATAACTTTTTGGCTATTTGACTAAAAAGGTAGGTAAAAAAAATTTGTATGTTTGGGATGACTTTTTGGCTAATTATGAAAAGATGTGCAAAAAGTAGAGAGAAAAGAGAATCTTTGACTTTTTGGTATGGGTTGTTGGCTTTTTGGCTAATTTAGTAACTTTTTGGCTAATTGGCTAAAATAGCCTCTTGCCAAACGAGGCCTAAATACACTTTATGAGATAATACTAGAAAAATGTTTAAGGGTCCGTTTGGGAAGAACTAAAGTGGATTTTTTTGGCTATTTTAGCCACAAAAGACAAAATAAGCTATTTTAGCCACAAAAAACAAAACATCACATCCAACCCATAATCATTACACTCTTCTATCACAAAAAAAGTCAAAAAAGTCAAAAAGCCCTTCCCAAACCAAGCCTTTTAGCCCAGGCTAAATAGCCCAAAAAACCAAAAAGTCAAAAAACCAACCCACTTCCCAAACGGAGGCTTAGAAATTCTAAAGATTTTACTAATATTTTTATCAAATGTGTGAGTCTCACACTCATGTGAGATATTTAGTACAAATATTAGTAAAACATTTGGGGTTTGTAGCACTACTCATAAGTCATAGGTCATGTTTGTTTAGTTCCATGAGTGAGGGGATTGGACTAATAACGAGGGAGAGTCATATAAAGAGTGTTTGGGTATGAAAAGCTGTGATTGGATTAACACTCCAAGGGGATTAGCAATCCTTGTTCTTGGTTGGACTAGCATGGAAGGAAAACATATAGGATTAGAAATCTAGTGATAGGATTAATGAATTAAAATATGAAATAAAATGGATTAAAATATTTTTAATATTATTTGTTTTTCAAATAATTTATTTGTGAAAGAAATATTTAAATTTTTTAATAAATACTATAAAAATATGGTTTTTTTATTTAGTGAATTTTTAAATAATTTTTATGCAAAATTTATATTTTTGTAAGTGTCTCTAGATTAAGTGGACTTAAAAAGTTTAAAAATTAAAATAATTATAATATTAAAAAATACTAAAAATATTAATTTTATATATTAATACTATCTATAATATTACTAATCCGATGGTATAAAAATAAGCACTCATTATCCTATATCTCCAATCTAATACCATAACATTAATAATCTCCTCACTTAATCTCACTATACTGCTAATTTCTTCCATCCTATAGAACCAAACAAACGATACCATAATACTAATAGACGTGGGCTTAGAGAATGATCCTAAAATTGAAGCCCATTTTTCGTTAATAATGGGCCCAAGAATTACAGTTGAGAAAGAAGCGGACCTAGCCGTATGATCCATTATGAAAGGCCCATTTGCAGAAATTCAATTCATGCCCACCAGTGATTATAGAGTTTCACAAAATTATGTGATTATGCAAAAATAAAAAGTAAACAATAAAAAACCATTTTCTACACAATTTTTTTAATTTTTTTGGATTGTGTCATTAAAAGATGGTGGTCATACGTACTATTAGTGTTAGTAGTGAGGGCGATAGCATTTGAGGAGGTAGTGGTGCTGGTGTCTTGGTGGAAGTGGCTGTGGTGGCAGTGATGGCGACGGCGACGGTAGTGGTCGGTTGAAATTGGCGGTGATGAGGATAGTAATAGTATAGCAGTATTGGTATGAGGGTAGCAATAGTATAGCACTATTGGTAAGATTTTTTACTTTTAAAAAATTAAAAATATTCTGATCAAATAAATTTGTTTTTTTTTATCATGAAAAACATTTTTAATTGACTTTTGTTTTTCACTATACTAAATTTCGAAAGATTTGGAAAATAATTTTCTTTCACACAAATAAACACAATTTATAAGTCAAAAGCTTATCGGATTGGGTTTTAAGTTCTAGTATAACAGTATTGGTATGAGGGTAGCAATAGTATAGCACTATTGGTAAGATTTTTTACTTTTAAAAAATTAAAAATATTCCGATCAAATAAATTTGTTTTTTTTTATCATGAAAAACATTTTTAATTGACTTTTGTTTTTCACTATACTAAATTTCGAAAGATTTGGAAAATAATTTTCTTTCACACAAATAAACACAATTTATAAGTCAAAAGCTTATCGGATTGGGTTTTAAGTTCATTTTTTATTTTTTTATTATCGTGTAATTATCTCTTGATTGGATTAGTAGGAACCAAAAAAACTGTCTACTCAAATTTTATTTATATTTTTTTATTATTAAATGATATCACATAAGATAATATCAATGTTATTTTCAATATTTATTCTTACATAGGTGTAAATGCCGTATTTGTTGGGTAAAATTTTTAGCATAGCTACTGAGAGGGAGTTTATATGTACACTTAGGGCTGAGTTAGGCCCAGTCATTGCAGTGGACCGATTCGTGGGCCGTAGTAAAAAGGACTTCACAAATTGGACCTAGTTTTGTTAGCTCGATCTAATTGTGGTGACAATTACCTCGGTCGAAGACACGGCTGCAAATAGCTCGGTCTACATACTCCAGTCCGAGGTATAGTTGAGCGATAATCGAGCTAAGGCGTCACTTGTAGATGTGCTGAGCTGGATTGTAAGAGCAAGGTAGGACCGAGCTAGGTGAAGCACGGTTGAGACTGCCGCTCGAGTATAGCGGTGTTAGCTCGATTGTGTAATCATACAACCGTAGTAAAACGATTTCATTTGGTTAAAGCAGTGAAGAAGGTGTTAAAGGATAAGCATTATTTTTCAGAAATATGATTCTTAGGATGACTCTTATAAGGAGAGTTGAAATCCTACTAGGATTGTGCGAGACAGAGCCTATAGAAGCTCATAACAAGACCTATGTAGAGGTATCACAACTTTAATTCTCGAATACACAGAGTTTTTGTGTATTTGTCTATTTGGCTGACTTAGGCATCGGAGAGGTATCCGACACACACCCGCCGGCTAGCTCACGTTTGTGTTTTCAGGGAATAAAACGACGACATTTGGTGATGCGCATACTTTATCAACAAGATTATACGATAAGATTATTTCGCGCTCGTACAGCTACCAAGTTTGGTGAGAGGATATTTAAAAAAATAAAAATAAAAATAAAAAAAGAAAAGAAAAAAAGAGTTTGGTTTTAGCTTCATTTGTGAGGCTGAAATCATTATAACACAGCTGTTACACTAAAAATGAGATAAAAGTGAAACCCCACAATCAAATAGTAAACACTTATTCTTGCTTTATCTATCAACAACTTTCTCTTGTGCCATTAAGAATATGTACTAATACACTCAAATGAAATCAACCATATTATGGGTCTAAGATTTGCTCAACATTGTTGAGCACCAAACAACATTCAAAGTTTGGTAGTGTCACCACAGCCTCTATATTAGTCTTATTAGGCATGTGGGTTTGGGTGAGATTTGGGTTATTTTAATCAAAAATAAATAAAATAGGTTTTTTAGTCTAATAAGATAAAATGTCACATTCAAATTATAATCATTTCATTTTTTCTCTCATAAAAGTCAAAAAAATCAAAAAGTCATCCCAAACGAGGCTAGCCCTAGGCTAAAATAGCCAAAAAGTAAAAAAGTCAACCCACATCTCAAACGAATCCTTAAATTATTGCTTCATTAATGTTATATGCACAAATTTTTTTATTTTATAAGAATGTACGTAAAACTTTATCAATTAGCGCGGTGTGCGATTCAAGCTTTTTAATCAAGGACATCTATGATGGTCGTTCATGATTTTTAAAACTTCCGAGTAAACATTAAACTTAGACCTTATCTTATGAAAATTATTTAGTGTTCGAGTTAAAATGATGTGGTGCCCAACCTATTTTTTATTAGTTGAAATAGAACAGTGGGATCCCTCACTATTATTTTTTTTTTTGAAATTTTTTTTTGGTGAGTTTCAAATAACAGTTAAGTGACGCTACCAAACTTTGCTAGAATGTTCAAACACATGGGCTTGAGGGGAGGGACACCAACAAGGTCTAAAAATGTTTCGCATTTCATTTTTACTTGCTCTTGGGGAGAGAGATCATAATCT